TTGGCGTTCTCGTGGAATAATTGTTAATTATGGAATGGATGATTGCTTACAAATTATAATAAAGGAACAGTTATATATTAATATTATTAATGAATTAATTGACTACTGTTAGTGTCAAGCCCTGCAATCAAGCAACGTCCTGCAGTGACCAAACCTCCCCCTGTCCCACCCGCTCAAGAATGTGCAGATCCAAAATTGGACTCAACAGCCACCACAAGGCATTCCACCCCCCCCCCAGCAAGGATTTTCTTCCCACTGATCTTTGAACTAAGAAGTATCTGCCTTCGTCATCATCATATCAAAAACTTGGATTTTCATCATGGCATGTTAAAAACATACCTGTTGTTGGTTCTAATGGTCCATGAGATTCAGAGAGTTTTTTAACCTCCTCCTTAAACTCACTTCCACCGGCTTTTTCAAGAGCTGAACCTGAAAGTCAATACAGCATTGATGAGCAGTGTTGAGCACATTTGAAATCATCCTGTGATTTCTACAAAAACAACCTAAAAACCATCCAGTATCAGGGCTAGACACATATGGTAGCCAACTAGCAACAGACTAGTAGAAATTCAGTTTTGGCTAATAGTTTTCAATTTCCACCAACCAGGTTGGCTATCAATCAAACTGAAATTGTTGCAACATCTAAGTTGTCACAAGCCACTTAGCAAGTAAGATGAAAAGTTGGTATTGAGGGCTGAATATGGTCAAGGGAGAACCAGTCAACATTTGCAAACTGTGGTGAAATTCAATCAGCTTTTTCAACCAGACCCAAACTACAATAAAACATAAAATAATACAGCAATGGTCTGCACTCATTTAATTACTGAGTATCATATATGAAAACTATAGTCAGATGTTTGTGGTGGACTGAGACCTACTAGATAAATTAACTGATCTATTCTACTTCCTGTAATTTGCTACCATCAATCTCCACTTGCTTTAACTTTTGCCCCCAGGAATGCCTAGCAACAAATTTCTCGTAACAATATCAACCTTGAATCATGCATTCAAGTCACAAGAATAAAGGAAATGATCAGCAACTAATTAAAGAGGGTTTTAAGTGTTAAACAAATTCCAGGGCTTGACACTTATGGTAGCCAACTATCCACAGACTAGTAGAAATTAAGTTTTGGCTTTTGGTATTTGATTTCCACTAGCCAGCTTGGCTAGTAAACAAACTGAAATTGTTGTAACATTTAAGTTGTCCCTTGCCACTTGGCTAGTATGGTAAGTTTAAAAGTTAGTATCAAGCCCTGAATTCTATTATTCAGAACCTTACATTTAGTAAATGTATAGGGTAACAGTAAGGAGATGGCTACATTTGGGGTGCAAAGGGGACAAAGTGGCCCCAAAAGCAAAAGATCAATTAACGCTGATTATTATATGACTGTGTCTCACAAGGACTGGGAACTACCGAATTCACGAAATTGATTGGCTGAAATCAATATTGAAAGTGGTCTAGATTTTCCCATCTAGACCAGTCTAGAAAAAAAAAAGGTACAAAGAATATAAAAAATTGGCATATAAGACACAGCCATATAATAAACATCTTATTAACTGAGCTAGGTTGGTCTGTATAGGAGAATCTTGACCTCGGTCGCTGGTACAGACCTCACTGCATTCAGTCTGTACTGGCGACCTCGGTCAAGATTCTCCCATACAGACCTCCCACTCGGTTAATAAGAACTAAGTATCAATGATGTGATGTCACAGGTCTCAAAAGGTAAACGGTGGTCCAGGGATCTTTAATATCTTACCAGCCAAGTGGCTAATGACAACTTAGATGCTACAACAATTTCAGTTTGTTTACTAGCTAAAGTGGATTGTGGAAATAAAAAACCACAAGCCAAAACTGAATTTCTACTAGTCTGTGGCTAGATGGCCACTGTTAGTGTTGAGCCCTGGTGGTCTGCCTATGCTGTAAGAATGAGATTTGGGTACGTACCTACTTCACCACCCAGATAAAATGATGCATTGGTTGGGTGTACTAAAGCATCTGCTTCCACCGTTGCAATATCACACTGGATAACTGTTAACTAAAACAAGAGAAGACACTCCTTAACATGCTTGAACCGGGGGAGTAGTTGAACTTAAAAGGCACGAAAAATACTAACTGGTGGACAATAAGCACATCAAGAAGAAACAAGAGACAATATACACTGTAGAAACAACCACAAAGTTTTCCTCAAGCCCTAACAAGTCAAATTATCCACTGTAAAACTTACCTTTTGGCCCAAGAAAAGCGTTTTCTCTGAAAGAACAGTAACACCTGCACCTGGTGAAACTTTGTCAGCTCCTTTCCTTGGAGCAGGCTGAATGAAACAGTAATCACAATCATTATCACAATCATGAAACAGTAATAACAATCATTATGTTAATTTATGTGAAGTAAATTAAAAAGGAAGAAGACTCAGAGAGACAAAGAAATTCTGGTTGAAATAACAAATTGCAACTACACAAGTTTAAATCTTGATCTCCACTTTAAACCCTCCAATCCCAAATAGTGACAAGCAACTGATTTCTCTCAAATGAATCACCCCAGAATCTATCATCAAGGTCCCGAGAATAAAGGAAATGGCCATGAACTCAAGACTGAAGCTCTCGGTTCTTTAGACAAAAACATAAAAAAAACAAATATTGTTGCCTACATTCTGAGTAATTTCAGGAGTGATTCCTGTTTCTTTGTGCCTTGATCATTCAGAGTCCTTGCCCTGAGAAGCCTTCATATTTCATTGACACAGTTTGTGCTCCAGAACGCAGGGAATGTATTTCATGCAGTGCTTTCAATAAGATTTGAAATAGGTGGCTACCTCGGTACAACACCCACCAGAGAGTGACTTAATTGTGACTTAGCGTGGTGACTGCAACTTGAGCGCGGTGAAATATACGCGGCAACTCCCAACAGAATACCCGCCAGAGCTCTGGCAGGCACTAAGTCTTATTGAAAGCACTGACTTCATGAGGGCCAAACTTTGAAGTATCAGAAGGGCTGAATTTTCTAAATCCCTGTAACCCTTTAAACTCTCAAAAGTGATTAACAAGTTACTTCTCCCTAACTTTGAAGTATCAGAAGGGCTGAATTTTCTAAATCCCTGTAACCCTTTAAACTCTCAAAAGTGATTAACAAGTTACTTCTCCCTATCCAGCAAACAGGTAACGAGAATATGCAAACTTGTCAGGTAGAAGCTGTTATATTGATCCAATACCAAATTCTTATGGCTAATTACTAGGAAAATGTGTAGAAGTCAGAGGGGAGAATTAATAATTGGATCTAGGGATTTAAAGGGTTAATACACTGGTTATCAACTGTCTACTGCTGCCCGTAAGACCTCTAACTGTCCTCTGTTTAGCCCACAAGAAAAATATCACGCTTGAGTTTTGCCTAATGGCTCCTTCTCTAGGTAAAGCTGTCTTACACACCATTGATTAGAAGACCACTTATGGAAAAAGCACTCCTGGGATCTTGTTAGAAATTGTCCTTACTCTTTATAATACAATTCTTATGTTATTCTGAAGAATTTGGGATTGGACCAACTACCGTATTTATCTGTGTAGAAGTCATTAACTTTACGACCGAAAAATCAGCCCAAAAAATCACCCTCAACTGATACACGGGTCATAGACAAAGACCTGACCTAAGTAATCCAAGAAATTAGCATAACAATTGCCTGAAGTCCATTAGGAAAACTGAGTTTACAAAACCAGTTCTAACTGTGTTTGAGTTTCATCAGTTTTTGGCACGTTCTTCATTAACGAAAAAGTTACTTTTTAATTTTTTTCTTGTGCAAACTTCAGAAAGCATGTGGAGTTTTCTTAGTTACCAGACTGAGTGCCCTTCAAATTTGTTATTTCCAAGATGGCGGTGTTTTCATCAAGCGATCCTTCAAACCTCTTCAGTGTTCCTTTGGTCTACTAAATCTCCTTTCAAAAGGTTATTTAAATACATGAAGATTTCATTTTCAAAGCAGCTTACAAAATATGGTAAATTACTTCTCCAGTCAATCAAAGTGCTTGTATATGCTTAAATCATGAATCGTGGTGATGTGAACAAGTGCTGCTAAACTTCACAGCACAAAGTTACATTTTGCTCTGCAGTTTTTTTTTATTCCCCATGTCTTCAATAACTCCTCGGAAATATGAGATCAATCATTTGGGAAATTTCTATCAGTCTGAATTTTTCTTTAACTAGAAATGATGAAAAATCCGATTTTTGACCTTGAAAATGGGGGGTTGACTTATACACGGGGTCAACTTATACACGGATAAATACAGCAATAATCCCGTACTTGATATTTTTCCTTATTCTCATCACTTGTCTGCTTAATATCCCCCTAACATTATAAGGAGAAATTCTGTCTTGGTCATTCAAGGGAGTTAAAGCATTAATGAACCCCCTACATCAACAATCTGAGAGGTATTAGACCTTCATGTCTAATACTGACTTTTCACAACCTATGGTAATCTGCTCCCCATTGAATAAATAATAATAATAATAATAATAATAATAATAATCATCATCATCATCATCATCATAATCCTAATAATAGAGATAAAAGACTCTTTCACTCACCCCTTTCTTTTTCGCTTTACCAGCAGAAATAGGTGCTTTTTTAGCAGGCGAGACAGCCTTCTTTACTGGACTTGTCATCTTCTTCCCCGATGTAGTTGGTTTGGGTGCCGATGTTGTCTTCGGGTGCTTTGGCTTTAATTCATCTGGTGCTACAAGTTTCCCACCTTTTCTTTTCTTCAAAAGTTCAGGGTGAATATTTGGAAGGACACCTCCAGATGCAATTGTCACACCTTTCAACAACTGGTAAAGTTATGATAAACCTCACTTTGGTAAACAAGGAATATATCAAATGAAAGCTTTTGAATTTGGTTTAATCCACCAGGGCCCAGTTGTATAAAGGACGGATAACTTTATCCAACAGATAAATCGCTATCTGGTGGTTAAGTGATAGAAAAAGATAAACCTCACTTTGGTAAACAAGGAATATATCAAATGAAAGCTTTTGAATTTGGTTTAATCAACCAGGGCCCAGGAGTATAAAGGACCGATAACTTTATCCAACAGATAAATTGCTATCTGGTGGTTAAGTGATAGAAAAATGTATAGCATTATCCATCAGACAGAGTTTTATCCAATGAATAGTGTTACCCAACCAGGGCTGGACATATAAACTCCAAAATTCAGGGCTACTAGAAGGATATATATCATCTAGTTATCAATACAGTCAAACCTCAATTATCTGGACAAGACTAGGGGACTAGACGAAATAGTCTGGATAATTGAGGGTCCAAATAATCAAGAATATGAATATTAATGAGAAACAAAAACTGATTAAATTAAGAAAGCAATATTTAATCCTGAAACAAAAACATTCACAAATTGTTTTGAAAAAGATGTGGTCTACATCTTCAGTGTCCTATGTGAACACCTCTACGCACGTGTATTAACAATTAAAATGAATGAAAAATGTTTTTATATTCATTTGGTCTAAAATGTTGAAGTCAATCAGTTTGTCTTGTAGAGAAACATCGCCTTTACTTCACTTTTCAATGCTGTAGTTTTTAAAAGAATATGGCTACAGATGTTGATCATGACTAATAAATATTCATGAAAAAATTGAGACCAGAGAAAAAGTCTGGATAATTGAAAAAAAAAAAAAAAACGGATAATTGATGTTCAGATAATCAAGGTTCAACTGTAACCGAGGAACTGCAGACCTACCCCTCCCCCTGCAGTCAACTGATAGCAGGACTAGTGTTAGGGTTAACATTGTATAAGGGGAGGGGTGGGTGGGCAGTTGTAGAAACAGGTCTCATTATAGTGTTCATTAATGTGGGCACAGACATTTCTATCATAATTCAAAATGTGGTATATATACCATGGGAACTATGTTGACTTCACAAACTTTGGTCCTGGTAAAAAAAAATTATTCTATCTGTGATTCCTTATCTGTTTATTTCAGTCAAGGGGTACCTCTACTAAGGAAATGTATTTAGAACCCCAAGGATGTTCCCTAACTGCAAGGTCAACTTAGCAATAAGTTGAGCACTGTGTATTACATTTGTGCAGTAATGTACGAAAAAAAAGAACAAACAAAATGTGAAACAAAAGACACAGACAGGTGGGTACCTGATCCTCTCACTATTCTACAACTTCATCTGTTATCTCAAACTGAACAGACACACAGCAAGATGGAATCTTTTTTTTTTTTTTCATATTCTAATGAGAAAATTGGACTAGCACTGTTTTATTTGCCCTCTGACAGATAATCAGTAAGAGCCAATAGAATGACTGTATCATTAAGCTTATTACATAATGCACTCTATAAGTTCCCAGAAAGTCTCCAAAGGTTGGCATTTACAAGTTATTTTGGTGACCATTTAGTTTTCCCAAAGCAGTAAGCGGAAAAAAGTAAGTTTGTTCTCGTAACTGCAATTGAGTATCTTCATATATGTACCACGATCAGTCCACCGGAAGCGATCCTTAGACCTTAAACCAATACCGACTTGAATTTAGAACCTGTACGAGGTCACAAATTCGTGAAAGGAAAAATTCCTCGTGAGTAATCATTGAATTCTTGATATCAAAACCAGAAAAAATTCCTCGGATGATGTGAAATAACACTTAACAAACTCTTTGTCCTTGCTATAAAAAAGAAAGTCGTGACAATAAGGCACCAGCCAGAATACACGCGGTACTGTATTTCATGTAAGATTTGTTTGGGGTCGAACGAAAGTGAAATTAGACGAAATAAATACAGTGCATAAAAAGTAAGAATTTTCCCTTCAAGCAAAGAGTGATAAAATTCACAAAGCCACAGACAGCGAGCGCGATTGCTCAACAACGCGGGTTTTACAGCTGTTCGATTGGAAGATTAGTAGGTTCATGTGCTGATCAAAAGTTCGTAAGACTTACTCCCTTCACGATTAAGTGTATATCGCTACTTTTCCACACTTGCGACTGCGTTAAAAAGGAATCCATTGAAGGAATGATATAGTAAGGTGAGAAGGGTCCATGAGGAACAACGAATTTTAACTGCTTTCCTTTGAGCGACTATCTGTCCAATTGTCGCACAGAATCTGAGCCGTGGGCAAGAACCGCGCGCTGATAACATCAGAAAGTTATATCTCTAATACTAGTACAATGAACTAAAAAAGAGCTACAGATTTGTTTGGAAGATTTTAAATGAAACACTAACCTGATGGAGTTCTTCATCGTTGGCAACAGCCAGCAAAATGTGCCGCGGTATAATTCGAGTTTTCTTGTTATCACGGGCCGCGTTTCCTGCGAGTTCTAGGATCTCAGCGGTTAAGTATTCCATGACGGCTGCTTGGTAAACTGGCGCACCCGATGCGATGCGGAAATGATGAGTCGTTTGGCGCAAGTAACGGTGAACTCGACTCACAGGAAACTGTAGGCCTGCCTTGGCTGACCTAGATTTTGCTTTCGCCCTCTTAGCCTGTTTTCCACCGCGGCCCGACATGTTCGATCCGAGAAACACACAACTTACGAGGGGGATGAGTGAAGTGAGTCCGTGCTTGGTGTTGTCTGTCAAGCCGCTAGCTAACCAATCACAGATAAGAAGCCGCCAAAGTTGCCCTACCATATTTGGAACCGTGTCCTTCTCAGCTGGCGCGTGGCGTCTGTTTCGAACAAAGAATCAAGCGAGTGTCTTCTTTGAAGATAAATGAAGCTATAATTATAATAAGTTGAGAGAAAAAGTGAAAAAAGAATACGTCACTGCCACAGCCAAGCAAACTTTGATGAATGTTTTGCATGTGCAGACTTGAAAAAATAAACTCTACTCTAGAAAAAGACGTTGCTGTTGTCTGCGGACCCTACTATCAAACACAACACAACTTGCCAATTGAATTTTCATCCACCCAAAAAAAAAAAAGAAAAAAAAACTTGGTATAATTAAGATACATATTCTACCAGGAACAAAGGAATAGAATGGAGACAGGTAATTAAAAAATAGTGTGAGGGATCAATGTTTTTTCATGCTTGCCAGAAATAAGTTTCAGGCATAATCTTGATTTTTGATCCTTGATTCATACATGGCTAAAGTGTTTTCTTGCTTTAAATTTTTCAGGTGAAATGAATTATCATAATGTCCCGCTGAAACATTAAGAAATAAAGCATTTAGGCGTTTAATTCCAAAGATCTGCTTGTTAAATCTCCTCTCCAGCTGCTCCACTTGAGAATTTGCATTTAGATCAAGATGACAAAGCACACACAATTCCTCTATTCGCTCCGACGAAGGGCTAACGCTCGAAACGTCAGCTTTTGTAATCGTTACGGTGGCCAATTTACCATTTCAGCTTTGTTGATATATCCAAATTATTTCGTTACCCCCACCGACGCAGCCCCAAACAGTTTCTTTAGAAACTTTCAGCCTTTCTACATGATAAGTTTGAGAATTCTCATAAACAGTTTACTGGATAATGTATGGATATTATAGGGAGAAGTTTCATGTTAATCACTTAGTAGTTAATTCTTGGCCAGTTTTTCTTTCTTTTGTTTATTTATTCTTTTTTTTTTTTTTCTCATAATTATGGTCACTGAACATAATTTATCAATAAACTTGGCTATGACTCAGTGATCAGACATTTTCAAACCTCGTCTTCAAAAATATTATTTTTTCTTCATATTTATTTGCTCAAAAGTTTGTGTTAACATTAAATTAATAGATTTCTATCAATCACTGTCTTTGTTGTAAAAGTTCATTGATGGATCTAAGCTGGTTGGCAGCTGTTAATGAACTATGCCCTTCAATAAGCAAACTGGGAAGGTTGTCACATGACCCACATTCCTGAAATAAATATCAAAAAGAAATTCAGTTAAAACAGAAGGATTGTAAATGGAAACTCCAACACATTGAAATTCAGTGTCCTGGGGCCCATTTCTTGAAAGTCCTGGTTAGGTAACTTAATGGGCCTATAAAGCTGTTCTGTTTTCATTCAAGATAGGGATTTCAAATGTTTTGAAAATGATGCAATAAAACTATCAGCTAAAGAAACAAAAAGGACTGATCTTATAAAATTTTGATTTCAAAACATGGCTTCAGGCCCATGAAGTTACTTGGACCTTTGAGAAAAGGGCCCCTGGCTTCTAATTATAAGAATTCTGAAAAATGGATGTGTTCAGGCAGGTGAACAAGACTCTATAAAGGTTGGTGTCTGCCTTGAATACTCACCCACTTTTATAAACAAGCTTAATTAACTATAACGATCTTACGACAAAAACCTATCTAAGATGAAAGCTTGATGCCTTCAAAAATTAGGTACTGTCTTGGAGTGAGTAATTGTTGATTGCATGAATATCATAAATCCTGTGTTCTTTATCTCACCTTTTACAATAGCTAGTGACCAGGCCCTCATTCTTGGCACAGCAGGGAGAGGTTTGGGTTTGTTTGGG